TCCTCACCAACAGGTCCCTGTCACGGTCTGACCCCTTTTAAGAGAGAGCTCCATGCGCCCTCGCCTGTCTTCTTCAAGCTTGGGAGGCAGGGATCCAGGTCCTTCCCTGGGGCGGGAGACCCTGCAGCCTGCTGAGGAAATTAACCTGATGATTGAGCTGCAGAATAAGGCTCTGGACTGCAGTTAGTTTGAGCTTCAAGGTCTGCGGTTCATATCCACCAGCCGCTGCTCAAAAACCGTATACAGGGTCACTATGGGTCGGAACCGACTGCACTTAACAACATTATGTGAGTCCTTGTTACTTCTCAGTCTGCACACCCACCGGAACCAAGGAGGACCCATCCCTCTTCCCATCTTACAGATGAGGCAACAGGTAGATTTTTGTCCAGTACAGCCCACGCTCCGCATTCTGGTTTCTTTGGAATATTTACTGGGCAGTCTGAAGGGACTCCTGGTGGCGCAGTGGGGAAAACGCTGGGCTGCTAAGGAAAGATCAGGAGAAAGATGTGGCGGCAGTAGTTCTACTCTGTCTAATAGGGTTGCTGGGAGTCGGTATCAGCTTCATGGCAGTGGGTTTGGTTTATTTTTTGGCTCGTTTGTTCCATGGTAAATTCCTTTTATGATCCAATAAATCAAAGTTGTGAACATTCTTCCCAGAAAAATACATACGATTGCGCATTCAGTATCTGAGCTTCCCCAATTCCTGAAGTTCCAGGATCAAAGTTCCCCTCCCTCCCACCCCAGCAATTGGTGGAATCCCCAACAGCTGGATTCTCTGGGGATGTGGAGCCCCTGGGAGAAGAGGTGTGAATGCAGCAGAATTACGATTTTGGCTGTCTGTCCCCAGGTGTGGCAGACTGGTGCGGGCAGGTAAAACAGACAGGGGAGGGAGACTCTTGGAGATGCGGGAGGGAAGAAGAGGGACTGGAGGTGTGATGGGGAGTGGCGGCCCTGGGCCCACCCACTGGGAACTGGAGGAGAGCTGTGTCTTGCGGACCAGGGTACACAAAGGACAAAGGAAGGCGGGCTGGGTTTGCTCAGAAGTTCTAGGGCCCGGTTGGGCCTCTCGGTTGTTCTCCACGCTTCAAGCCTTGGTTTAGCTTTCGTTGTTGTTGTGCGCCTTCAAGTCAGTTCCAGGTCCAAGCGACTGGTTTGTTTGAATCATCGACTTTGCGGGTCAAACCGACCTAAGGTCAAGTGCTTATCCTTTGTCACCATACCAGGAATCCAAAGGTCGCTCCTTGTTGCTATGTGCCGTCAAGTCGGTTCCGACCCATAGCGACCCTGAATAGGGTTTCCGAGGAGCAGCTGGTGAGCTTGAACCGCCAACTTTGCAGTTCAAATGACTTTGCAGTCTTGCATGTTAACTCACAGCGCCACACCAGAACTCCAAAAACCCGAGCTAATTCAAGCTTGGAAATAGATCCTCTCCTTTTCCCTGCCTCTCCCCTCCCTCTCTGTTGGGTTACTCAAATTTCCTGATTTTGTTTCTTAATATGTAAAATTGTTGGAAAATGCTAAGGGTTCAATCTCCTTACTTCCACCCTAGGGTATAAAATCACTGTTGTGGCTCATAGTGACTCACAGCGACCCCATGTGACAGATTAGAACAGTCCCATATGATTGTCTTTACAGGCTGCAATCTTTATATGAGCAGATCGCCAAGACTTTCTCTCTAGGAGCAGAAAAAAAGAAAACAAAACAAGATGAAAGCCCAGCCTGTAGGCCGCCTTGCCATTTGCATGCATGACTGGGAGTCCAAGCGTTGAAATACTTGTTTTCAAAGGCAAAGGTGTAGAGACAAGAGGCAATTCTGAAAAAGCCAGAATGGATTTGGTAAAAAGAAGTTCAGGGTCCTGAGACAGGGCAGTGGCTCTAACGAGGACTGGTACAAAATGAGGAGTGCTGCTCAGGGGGCCCACAAGCTGGGAGTGAAGTGTCTAAGGCTGACCTAGGACCAAAGGACTCACCGGTCACTACTTTCCCTGGGGATCCAGACCAGAGCTCCTCTCTCAGATTCAGATTGGTCACCAAACAAATAAACAAAACCCCAGGAACAATAACACCTTCTCACCCACTGCATGAAGTTCTGGTGTTGCCCTGTGGGATAGATAAAACACTGGACCGAAAAGTCGGTTTGAACCAGGAGGTCGGTGGTTCAAACTCACCAGCTGTTCCTTGGAAACCCTATACAGGGGGTCTTTATTGGAACTCACTCGATGTCACTAAAAAACAACGAACCTCGCTGCATAGAGTCCTGGTGTGGCACTGTAGGATAAGCACTGGACTGCCAACCAAAAGGTCAGCGATTCAAACCCACCACCTGCTCTTTGGAAACGTGGCTCGACAGCACTTACCACCACTACCACGAAGTGCATGTAGGGCTGCAGTCAAGAATTCAAAAGCTCTAGTAAGGTAGGTTCTGGGAGGAAGACGAGGCTGTCCTCTTTGACAGTCCGATTTACAGTGTGGTCACTATGAGTTGGAAGCGACTGAACGGCACTTAACAACAACAAGGTTGGATAAATAAATAAAAACACCTGGATGAGCGCCAGTGTGCCAGTGTGCCAAGGTTGGATAAATAAATAAAAACTCATGCGTGCCAGTGCGCCAAGGGCGCGGTCTGTCTGCCCCTTTATCCAGGGTCTGAGTGCGTCCCTCTGGCGTCTGGTTCTGGGTTTCGCTCTCCACTCACCTTTTGAGATGCCCAAAGGGATGAGCAGGCAATAGACATAAACAAGGTTGTTTGTTTTGCGTCCTTCATGCAGCCATTCCGGGGAGTAGCACCAGCACCAATGGAAATCCCAGCGCCTGGTCACCAGTAAAGAACTTTCCAGTTGTGCCAAAGGTTTGAGAATACCTGTGCGTTGGGCCCTTACCCTTTAGTTTCATTGTAATTCTTAGGCTGTCTTTTGTTCTTATCTTTACCAGCCGAGCCCGACTTACTTCTAACTTTGACGGGGCTGGAAGAAAAGTCACATAGAACCAATTCGGCAATTTCCTTCCTTTAACCAATATTTATTGATTATTATAGGCGAAACAAGAAAAGCGTCTATGTTGTTTTCAAGTTTGGTGTAAGAACTATAAGACAGTGTTGAGTTAGGGCAACAATTCTTTCTTGTAACACGATGGAAATTTAACTTTATTATTAAATTATGCGAGGGATATTTGAGGGAGAGGATAGGAAATCTATTTTTCTTTAATCAATACACATGACCCCACTCTATTAAAAGTCACGAATTTTAGAGTTGACTTTTAAAAACATCCTTACAAGGAATGTAATGGCGTGTAAATATTTTAATGATGCTCATATAAATCAGTTCTCCAAGACGAAGTGTAGTGGTAATTGACAACCAGCGAAATGTAGAAAAAAAAGAGAATAACTTTAAGTGACTTAGAGACATAGATGAGTGGCGTTAGTCACAAAGATCTTTGGCCCGTGAACCAGGTGCCCTGGTGCAAGGTAATGATAGTGTTAGTCCTGTATTAGGGTGTCACTGTGCGCCGCATTAGAGCGGCCTCCTGTCCACGCCCGCCTTTGGGTTTTAATGCTTGATTTTTACTGGTGAGGTGGCCACTTTGGAGACACCAGCTCTAGTCTTTCTGACAGCCTTGTCGTCTACTACCTTCTCTTGTTGACAACGCGATTCCTAAGAATATGCCTGTGCTGGTTTTCCGGTTCGCGAGACAGCTGGAGACTTCTCCCTAGCGGGTGTGGTTCTCCTTCAATTTGGGCGCGGGGACCCGGACCCCGCTGCAGCGAAGGCAGCGCGGGAGGACTCTGGCCGAGCTGCTGGGAGGAGCTCAGGGATGCAGAAGGCGGAGGTGCCCTGCTGGTCCTTTTAAGCCAATCAGAGCGCACACCGCCAACCAGCCGGCCAATCAGTAGCTCAGAGCGAAGGCCCGAGCGCATAATACTCGGGAGGGAAGCGGAGACTGGGATTGCGGCTAGGGGCGCGGCGCGGCGCGGACTGTGAGCGCCGCGCGCTCGGGAACCCGCGCTCCGACCCAGTGTGGGCTGGCGGGCCCTTCCGGCCACCCCGAGCCCGAGAAGGTCAAAAGCAGCCGCCGCGAGGTGAAACGAAGCGCCCGGACTTCAGAGGACAGGGATGTGCGGGCTAGGCGGCTAGGACTCGTAGCTACACCCGCTCTTCCGGATCGGTGGCCTCGGACCTCCAGCTGTCATTCCAGAGCTGCCCAGATTTCGGTAAAAAAGGGCGGCCAGTAGCCTGCAGATCGGGCCCCCGGCTGGCTAGTCACGGCTTCGGAGCGCCAGTAAGTGAGGTGATACCACTGGGGTGTGTGTGTTGTAGGGACAGGGGAGGAGGATCTTCGGGTTTTCGTCTGTCCTGGCGGTTTGTCTGGATGCATGGCCTTAAAGATGCAAATCAAGCCCGGAGCACTCCTCCTGAGGGGGGCCAAGCGTTGTAGAAGCTGAGCGTCACGCAGGGTCCGGAGTTCTTAGAGAACCATTTTGGTTTTTAGTTGACTATTTGCAGCGGAGGCATGAAAGGCCCTCTCTAAGCTCAAGGAGGGGACCTGGTGTTGGTTTAAGGAGAGGCACTGTGAGGAGTAGGCCCCTCTGCAGCCACGGAAGATCAATAGTTCGTCGACGATTTGATTTGGCCATTCTAGTTAGATCTGGGAAGACTGACAAGTGCTCTGTATGTCTCCAAGTCACTAGGCCGGCCTAGTTGGACGCAAGACTTTGGGGTGTGTGTGATCAGTTAAGTTACCCAGGGACTTGTCCAGAAAGATTTCGTAAAGTGAGAGGGCAGCCATATCACTTATAATAAATAGAAGAAGATTCAGTTGGTTGCGGATCCCGGCGGGGCACGTGGACCTGAGTGTAGGTGACCGGTGGTGAACGGCGGTACTCCTGGGGAGGAGGCGGGTAGGCTGGCGAGATAGGCCAAGGCTCGGGGACTGTCCTGAAACCAGCCGTGGGTCTCGGGGTGTTTTCGTGTCTCTCCAGAGCGCAGGCCCAGAAGGTGCGACGCATGGCCGAGCGGCAGCCGGGCCCGGCGCCCGGGGACTGGGAGATCGACGTGGAGAGCCTGGAGTTAGAGGAGGACAGCTGCGGGGCGCCGCCGCCGGCCGCTGGGGATGGTGAAGACGACGAGGAAGACGAGGAGGACGACGGCGACGCGGAGGAGGAGGGCGATGGCGATGGCGAAGCGGCGGTGGGCGCGGGTTCCGGGGCGCTGCACGGGTCCGAGCCGCCAGGGGGACGACGCAGCCCACCGTCTGCACCGCAGATCCAGCGCGCCGTGGCGGGACCCGGGGAGCGCGGGGTAGCAGCTGAGCCGCGCAAACTGAGCCGCACGCCCAAGTGTGCGCGTTGCCGCAACCACGGCGTCGTGTCTTGTCTCAAAGGCCACAAGCGCTTCTGTCGCTGGCGTGACTGCCAGTGCGCGAACTGTCTGTTGGTGGTGGAGCGACAGCGCGTCATGGCCGCTCAGGTGGCGCTCCGGAGGCAACAGGCCACTGAGGTGCGTACCACGGGTCCCGGAGCCCGAGGGACCGCGGCTGCGCTCACCCACCTGTCCCACCTCGCTGCCGCCTTGGCCTCCTGCACTGGCCGTCAGAGCCTCGGAGGGGAGTCGGCAGAAAAAGACTGCGTTAAAGGGGCAACCGAGAGGCCTGGAGCAGGGTTAGGGAAGGTCTAGCTTTCCATTTTCTCTTTAAACATTTGTGTTGGTGGCCTGTGGATGAGCCGGCGCACGGCGTCCAGCACATCCACTGGCGCGGATAGCGCCAAGAAGCCCCGCGGCCCCGAGCCCTTTGAGAATGCGCCCATTTTACAGATGAACAGTGGCGTGGGAAGGGCGGGGCCCGCAGTCAGAACCTGCAATACTGTCCCGTGCACCATCTAAGCCTCCCCGGAGGGCGCCAGCTGCCTGGAGAGCCGGAATTTCTTTAGCGGGGAAAGTTCTGGAGCCCTAGTCTCTGATCCTGGTGTTCCCGAGAGTGGAGCTCAGACCTGGAGAGGCTTCGAAGGCCTTGGGGTGGGGTGAGGGATTTGTTCGTTTGTTTTCGGTCAAGAGGAGTGTGTGTATGTGTGTGTGTGTGTATGTGTGTGCGCAAGAGAGAATATCACAAAGGCAGTAACCCAAAGGAAAGCCCCCACCCCCGCCGGCTCCGAAGGGTATACTAGGCGGGATTTGGGTTTCTTCGGCATCCCCAGGGTTCTGATTGTCCGTCCTGCGTTCCCTTTGGACGCAGACTAGGCCAGAAGTTCCATGGACCTGGTGGTAGTGACAGTGAGTGGGTGGGCGACTCCAGTCCAGCGACCCCTGCAGAGAGTTTGTTTGTTTTCATGCATCGGACGACCTGGGGGCTTTGCTGGAGAGCCGGCTGGGGAGAGGCTTAGAGTGATTTCCTCCTATTCTCCCCCAGAAACCTTCCGAACTTCCACTCCAGTTCACCCTCTCTTTTGGGGGAGAAACCAGCACTGACCAATTGCAGGCCCAGGCCACCTTGGAGTCCACTGGTGGGCGCCAAGGCAGTGTCTCCTACCCTCTCTCCATTGTGGATTCGCCCCTTATGGCGCGGTCCCGACAGACATTTCTGGCTGCACAGGCCTCTGCTTGAAGTATCTGGGGTGACCTGAAAAGCCAGGGGTCATGCTCACACAGTTCTAACACAGCCTGGGGTCAAGGGAACCCCCTTAGCAATTAATTTGGAATCACTGTCACGAGGTGTGGGAAATAAACACATCTAGACCGAGGGGGTTTTCTGAGCGATTTGCACACACTCCTTCCTCCTGAGCGAGCATTATTGACGTTTGTGTGTTTTCAGGACAAGAAGGGACTTTCTGGGAAACAGAATAATTTCGAGCGCAAAGCCGTGTACCAGAGGCAAGTCAGGACACCCAGTTTGCTGGCCAAAACCATTCTAGAAGGTAAAGTAACTCACCTTTAAGGACAGGCGTTCTGAGGGCTTCTGTTATTCAGGGAGACTGCAGGTTTATTAACCTGTGAGCCATCTACCTCAAGGTAACTAATAAATACCTTTTTTAAAAAATCAAAAAGTTTTCCTCTAGGAAGGACCTGTGAAAGTTAATCTCAGTGTAATTGTTGAAGGGCTTGCCACCATGAATTTAAGAATCCTGATCATGTTTTTGTCGGTTTACTAATGAGTTCACACAGAGAAATTTGCCCCAGGGTAGGGAGGTTCAAAAATAATCTGCAACGGGTGGGAGCAGATGTTCTGAAAGGAAGTAAAAATAAAAGGAAACAAAATTTCCTGTATCTTATTGTCTTTAAGGGCTGACTAGTCAGTTTCCACCCAGGGCAACCCTGTATAGGGTTTCCGAGGAGCTCCAGGTGACCTTGCTGTTGGAACTGACTTTGCAGTGCAGTGCATTAACCCTCAGCTCAATAGAATTAATGAAATGGGGAGTTTAACTCATGAAGCAATAAAACCCCCTTCTTTTCATTGTACCATTGCCCTCCCTAAGCGTTACCTAGATCAACACATTCATTTGAATGTTTTTGATAGTCGAGGTCTAAGATTCTGGAAATGGTTTTGAATCAGACAGTGGCATCATTAGGGTTCCTGCTACACAGTGTGTTGACCCCACTTCACCAGGACCTCCTCTGGTATCAGATCATGTATTCCCAGAATCCTTAGTAATGTCTATTGTCCATTTTAACCATAGAATAATAGAGGATAAATATAGTTGTAAGTGGCTTACATGTAATATTTCTTGCCTTATATGAATACTAACCACATTGTTTTGTCTAATCCTTCGATGACACCAAATTACAACTTATTAGCAAATGAACTTACACCAAATTACAACTTATTAGCAAATGAACTTACTCAGTTTTTCTCCGTTTCCTTTAACTATAATGCCATTCTCAAAAAAGTTATTAATATAGGTTCAAAAATACTAATGGCCACAATCTTATAGTTAAAACACTAGCAAGTAGGACAAACTCGCTGACTGTAAAAGCATCCGCAGCAATGAAAACAACAGTGCACGCTGACAGGGGCTGCAGACAGTATCAGCCAAATGTCCTGACTGGTGGGATGTTCTTAAGTGTTCTCCAGTAGGTTCTGACCCATAGCGGTCCTGTATAGGGCTTCTGAGGAAGGCCGGTGAGAAGGTTTTAAAAAGTAAATTAGCATAGTCTTGTAGCTGTATTGATACAGATAAGCTGGGCTTACAAAAAAAAAAAAAATGTTTTTGTTGTTATAACTAATTAAACGAAACTCAACCCATTGCTGTAGTTAATTCCGGCTCATAGTGGAGGGTTTCTGAGGCTGTAAATCTTTATGGGAGTAGAAAGCCTTATCTTTATCCCTGTGAAAGACTAGCTGGTGGGTTTCAACTGGAGACCTTGTGGTATGTAGCCTAGTGACGATCCTGCAGCTCCACCAAAAAAGACTTTTAAAACGAACTACAGGGATGGTTTAATAAAAGTAAGTTTCTGCTGAAACACTGCAGAAACATCTTATAGACAGTCATTTTGGTACCATGCCCTCTGGCAGCATCATACTGTACCATCTGTACTCCCCTAGCTCCCTAGGGGTACCTCTGGAATCCTATAAGGAGGGGAGGCTGAAAATGACCAGGAATTTCACTTTCTCTAGATCGGATGCTGCCCCCAGGGATGCTTAGCTTGCTCTTAAAATATTACCAGTGGTTTAATCGTCTTTATTTGGGCATGGAATTTATTTGTTGATCTGCTAAGTTAACTACCTTTCACTATTTAAATAAAAGGAATGGTTATATTTTCTCTCATCACTGCCACTTCATCAAATTCAGGTTGAAAAGTAGAATTTTTCTAAAAGTAGATCTTTGGGGTTCTGTTTTCTCCTTGTGTCGCCTCTGAACTGAGGCAGGTTTGCTAATGCGTTTTCATCTCTCCCTGTACTGTGTACTTCTAACCTCAGAGAGGTTTGGTTTCACATGCATTAAAAATGAATTTGAATACAAACTGGGTAAACAGATTTATAACCATAGGGACTACACTGATAAACTGAAATTGTACCAAAGCAACTTGAGATGTGGGAGGACCAAACGGAATCGTAAATTCAAGTAAATAACTTCCTGGCAAAACTTACCATAGAAATGGAAACATGATTTTTCACATTTTATTTTATTTGCAAATGAGTCCAATGGATTTGTCACTATGTAAACACAAATGTCACAGTGGATCCTGCAAACAAATTCTACAGTGCTGAGCACTTGGGGGATGCGGAAATACGTGAAGTGTGTGCTGGCAGTGTTTCTCAGGCTGTTACACTGATCTTGGTTTTGCGATGATGACTTTGTGTTCTAATGCGTGCTTGTTTAACCACTTTGGTATCTGGCCAACGTGATTAACGTTTGAGAAAAATGTTTGAGGCCAATTATTTTCAATATAGCAGGGGATTCTTCTCCCTGCTCGCCTTTCTGTTTTGTTTGGACTGTTAGAGGAAGGGCTGGTTGGATGGGTCACAGCAGAGTACGTTTGACTAGTTAACAGCTCTTTGAAAATTTCTATGCTTCTCTGTTCCTAATCTTTTTTCTTGTTCTCTCACTAATCTGCTTTCATGTTCATTCTTTCTCTCTCCCCAGTTCTCCTTGGATTATTCTACAACTGTAACAATGTGTACCTAATGAGCCACCTTTAGGAAATTAAGTGCCACCAGCTTTAGATATCGATATCTTTTTGGATAATGTAATATAAATGGTATGGGTTATAATAAACCATCGATGGAAGCAAGATGAGTCTTAATGTACGAGGGCCTGGGAAGAAAGTGATCGTTTCAGGCAATAAAGTACACCTGTGAAATCAAACACACAAACTTTGCAACCACAACAGCGACAGTTACAAGATGGATATCCTTTCACCCAGAGGGGATGATTTGAAATGGAATGCATAATGACACTTTGATGTTCTGTGTAACAAAAGTGGTGGTAAACCATACTAATCCCAGCCCATTGCTGCCCCTGACTTATCCCCTGACTCATAGCGACCCCAAGTGTCAAAGAATAGAACGACTCCATAGGGTTTGTGTAACTGTGATCTGAATGGAAGTGGATTGCCAGGCATTTCTTCCGAGGTGCCTCTGGATAGGTTTGAACTGCCACCACTTTAGGTTAGTAGCTGAGAACACTTTATATTGGTGATGTACAACTCTTAAGTAATTGTTCTGCTGACCTGTAATATTTCTGTTGCTCAATGAGTTTTTGAATCTTCCTTCCCTTGCTCTAGGATACCGCCCCATTCCCGCAGAGACATACCTAGGAGGGACCTCGCCTCTGCCTCCCCCAGTAAGTGACAGGATGAGAAAGAGGAGAGCCTTTGCTGATAAAGAACTGGAGAACATTATGCTGGAGAGAGAATACAAAGAGAGAGAGATGCTGGAAGCTTCCCAAGCTGCTACCTTGTTCCTGCCCAACCACTTGGTGCATGGACCTGAATACAATTCCTACAAAAACGCCTACAGCCCCACACCCGTGGAGCCCCCCAGCAAGGATTTCTGCAACTTCTTGCCTGCCTGTCTTGACCTAACCATGCAGTATTCTGGTTCTGGGAACATGGAACTCATTTCTTCCAATGTCAGTGTGGCCGCCACATACAGACAATACCCCGTGTCCTCTAGATTTGTAGTGTGGCCCAAGTGTGGCCCCATTAGTGACAGCCTCCTCTACCAGCAATGCCTGCTGAATGCCACCACCGCCGTGCAAACCCTGAGACCTGGGACTGGCTGGGACTCCAAGGGCTCTCGTCTCCAGCATGTCCTCCGCACAGAGCAAGACACCATGACAGCCAAAATGGAAGGCTCCCTGGTGCTGGCCCCCATGCCTGAGGTCCAGGGTGGGCAGGGCCACCAGGCAACACCTGAGGGGTCCGCTTTCTCCCCACCCCGACGGAATTTCTCTCCCGTGGTTGACACAGACACCCTGAGTGCTCCAGGGAACATATTAACCAAGTTCAGCAAAGAAAGCAGTAGGCACCCTCTTCCACTTAAAAATAATCCTTTCCACTCATTAGTCCAGCAAACGTTTCATGACAAATCCGGGCCTGAATTGAAAACACCGTTTGTTAAGGAGGCCTTCGAGGCGGTCCCAAAGAAACCCCGAGAGTATTCAGCCCAGGAGAAGCAGGGGTACACATTTACAATAGATAGGTGTACACAGGACCTTTTTGTGGCCAAGCAAGTTGGAACAAAACTGTCTGTGAATGAACCCCTGTCATTTTCGGTGGAGTCTATTCTTAAGAGACCGTCATCTGCCATCACTCATGTCTCCCAGTGAAAAGCTGAGAGCGGAGTGTTCTCTATACTCCCAGGGTTCTTGATATGCATTCATGGTTTTTGTTTTTGTTTTTTAAAGCCCAGATGTTTGTATAAAGAAAGTTCTAATGTAAATGCCAATGATTTAAAAAAAAAAAAAGAAAAAAAAAAGCTATATATTCTTACTCATGGACTGTTTTTCCCCCCTCAGTCCCATAAATCTATTTAAACATAAAGTTGGAAATTGCTTATGTGCACATTGGAAAGTTTGAGGCTTTCCACGGCATAGCTAACAGCAATAAAGTTGACACTGTTTCTGAAGAACTTGGTGTTTGCTGAAGCCAATTGTTGTCACTGTTGAGTTGAAAATGCCGGTGTCTGTTTGTAAAATGTATTCTCATTTTCCTGTGATTCTATGGATTTTTTTTAAAATTGTGGTATATATGATTGTAGCAAAGGAGCTACTATTTCAATATGCTTCATGTGGACAGTTGGCTGATGCTGTGTTGATGTGGCACCACCCTCTGATTGTTGTTGTGAAAGGCCTTCGAGTCGGTGATTCAGACTCGTAGCGACCCTGTACAGGCTTTCCGAAGAGCTGGCTGGTGAGTTTGAATTGCCCACCTTGCCATTTAAACTGACCTTGTGCTCGAGTGCTTATCCCACAGCGCCATGCCAGATTCCACTCTCCGGTTAGCTGCTTTCATACTTTTCTATCAACCTTAGCAGTGATTCTGTGTATTTTTAAATGCCCTGGATCAGCACTGGGCTCCTAACCACAAGGTCAGCAGTTCAAACCTACTAGCTGCTGCTCGGAGTGAGTTGGAACGGACTAGACAGCACTTAACAACAGTAACTCAATGGTGAGGTCAAGGAATCAGGGTGGTGCAGGGGGTTAAGCGCACCCACCAGCTGCTCCCAGGGGAAAGAGGAGGCAAGTCTGCTTGTCTCAAGATTACAGCCTCGGAATGGAGAAATTCCACTCCACCTACCCTGTGAGGTCACCGTGATGGAAATTGCCTAGATGGCAGTGTCTTTAATTTGGTTTTGAATGGTTAGGTCCATATGAGTTGAAAAATCGACTCTCTGGCACCTGGCTGTAGCCGATGGTCAGGACACGGAGGGATGCATAGGGACCCTCTATGAGGAGGACATGCATCTTCTGCTATTGACAGTTCTAGGCAAAGATTTAAGGAGAGTCTTCATTTCGTATGATTGGGCAAAGTTGACTTAACAGGAAGGTACCTCAGAAGAAAGGCCTGGTGATATACTTCCAAAAAAAAAAATCAGCCATTGAAAACCCTATGGGACACAATTCTACTCTGCCTCAGTGGGTTTGCCATGAGTGAGAACTGGGTTCTAAATCACTGTTACTCTGTTAAGGGCCCCTGGTGGCACTGTAAGATAAGCACTGACTGGACTGGTAACCACAAAGTCAGCAGTTCAAACCCACCAGTCGCTCTGAGGGAGACCGATGAAGTTTCCTGCTCCCATAAGGATTTACAGGCTCGGGAAGTCCTGTACAATGTTGCTAGGAGTCAGAATACTTTTGACAGCAGTGGGCTTTGGCAGTTACTCTCTTGTTTTGCTCAGCAAAAGTCAACTGTGCTGTGATTAAGAAAAGGCGAGTGAGCTATTTATGAGAGTACTAAATTCATCTCTTAAAATCTCCCCCGTGGGCCTGAAATCAAGTTCTAGATGGTTACAGTCCGCTCAATTCAGAAAATCAAGTGCCAAGCATCTCTTAATTCTGCATGGTGGTGGTTTTCTCCTGTGGAGTTGGTTCCAACTTGTAGTGACTCTAGACAAGGTTTCTGAGGCTGTAAATCTTTGCAGGAGCAGAAAGCTTCATTTTTCTCCTGTGGAGTGACTAGTAGACTTGAACTACTGACCTTGAGGTTGGCAAGCCCAGTTTATAGTACACCATGCTACCAGAGCTCCTTTTAATTTCTTCATGTTGTTATGTGCCGTGGAGTCGATTCCGACTCATAGTGATCCTGCCCAGGGTTTCCGAGGCTGTAAATCTTTACGGGAGCAGAAAGCCTCATCTGTATCCCGCGGAACAGCTGGTAGTTTCGAACTGTTGACCTTGAGGTTCACAGCCTGATTCGTAACCACTACTCTACCAGAGCTCCTTAGAGGTAGGTTTTATTGCCAACTCTGCTTTCACCTGGGTAACAAGAAAACCAGGTGAAGTGTTGACGGGCCAAGCAATTCAGCAGTTTAAAGAGTTGCATTTCTTGCTCTTGCAAACATTTGAAGTGATTTTAAAACGATTTTGCTACCGATGAACTCATGTAAACCTCCAGGGATTCTCTGAACCCTTGCTTGAAATTAGCATCCATTTCAAAAAACAACAACCCAACCCTTAGATTGATTTTCGGTTTGTACTTGTAAAATAATACCGGGTTGTGTTGAGTCAAGTATACTTTTTGCTACCATTGGAAAAGTCAGAGTGAATGGAAGTTTGCCAGAGGGAAAGAAAATGAAAGCAGACAGAGATCTCCAGATCTGATCTCAGTAACTGCTGAAGAAGAAGTGGGGGAAAACAACATTTCCCAGCTGGGTGTATCCTGGTGTCAGATAGAATCTCTCCCCCAGGCTTCCTTCTGCAGTCATTAGCTTTTTGTCTTCCTATCAGGATTTGTTGGGTCAAGTGTTAAATGTCAATGTAGCATTCGATGAAACAGATTCCGAGGTAACAAAGGAAAAAACGCATGAGGATAAAGTCATCTAAAATATTCTCAGAGTTTCCCCAGCCAAACTTGAATTTTCTCACCTTTCTGCTCTATTTTAGCATTTTGAACAATTAGGTTTGTCGGGTTTCCCTTTTAGAGTACCCTTAAGATTTGGGAACTTACTTTTTGTACCCTTACTTTATCAGTGTAACCCCATTAATTGAGTCCAGTTGGCTGAGAGCATTAGTGGCCGTGCCTCATGTTACTGAGACTGGAATTTCATTCTTCTTGAATGTTGATGAGAGGCACTGTTTTCCATGGCAAGTTTATGATTACACTGTGCATTAACTCTGCCGTGAAGAAGAGTTTTTCTTGGAATTTCAAACCTACTACCAGCCCTGCAGCCAGAGTTTTGACTTTGCCTTTTTTCTTCTTTTATTGTAACAAACAACATGCACTCATATGAAGGGGCTTCAAAAAGTTCATGGGAAAGTTCCATCATCTTTTCATTCAAAATTTCCACGAACTTCTTGAACTTCCCTCATATATATAATATAGCTAGCTAGCTAGCTAGCTAGAGTGAGTCCTAATGTGGTGCTGTGGATTAATATGTCAGAATGCAAAGCCATTTAAATTTCAAGGTTGGCAGTTCAAGCTCACCAGCTGCTCCTCAGAAACCCTATACAGGGTCACTATGTGTTGGAACTGACTCTATGATACTTAACAACAACAACATTACATATATATGTATATGTATGTATAAGGAGCTCTGGTAGCGTAGTGGTTACGAATCGGGCTGC